TACCTACCTACCTACCTACCTACCATCATCTATCGTGTGTGTGTCCTCGAAAATAAGACCCTGTCTTTTTTTTGGCCACCAAAAAAGGCACCAGGTCTTATTTTGGGGGGAATGTCGTCCACTGACTCACCTCACTTGCGTGTGTCGCCCCCCCCCCCCCACCTCTTTTTCGCTATCAGAGGCCTTCAGGAACTTCTTCGTCCAGCAAGGCTTTTCTGAAGATCTCTGCAGCCGATTGCAGAGCTCCAGATCGATCTGTACCTCTGTTATCGGCTACAGAGACCTTCAGGAAAGCCTTGCTGGCTGCAGCAAAAGAAATGGGCCGAGGTGTGCAAGGCCTGGCTGCAACTATCTAAAGTAAGTAGCAGGGCAGCTCCATCCCCACATCCCCACCCTAGCTTAATTTTTACCTATGCACCCTGTGGTGGGCGGGGTCTTAATTAGGGCTTATTTTGAGGATATGGCTTATATTGGGCGCACATGTACAAATCAAGCTAGGACTTTACCTTCTGAGTAGGTAATATTTTTGGGGAAACACAGTTTATGTATGCGCACACAGAACCCTCATGCCTTAAAAATTCCACCACAGTGGTGCTGCCTTCATTTCTGAACTCCTTCGGTAAAGAACTCCACTATTGCCAAATACATCATTGGTTTGGTTCTGTACAAAAAAAGTATCAACCTACACACACACACAGACACACAGACACAGACACACACACACACACACACCTTTCAGAGCACGAATTTGAACTTGGCCTTTCTCCAGGCAAGTTTGCTAAGCCAGTTACTTTTAAATAATTATTTATGAATTAGAAACTGCATTGGGAAAATACTACAACAATATTTTTTGGGAAGTCCTACGTGCTTCAAATCAGCATATAAAAAATAGAGGCATAATCCTGGCAGTTGTCCTTTGACAAAAGAATATTGGCTAGATTCATGCAACATTCTAGCCATTAAAGTAACCCATACTGGCTGGGTTCAATGGCATGGTAAACTATAAATTACTGTTTACAAACCATAATGACTGGACATGCTAAATCAAAACCAGGCAACCATATTATGATGTCATCTGTTCTGGGAATTAGATCAATACAGAATGGGATTCTTGGATTTTCAACGTCGGTACACTGCAGAGTACCTAACGGTCCTTCATTGTTTCTTTTTACCATGTTTTCATTTATAATTTAAATCAATAGGTGAGTTTTAAAGGCTTCCATGCATCTGTTCTTTGTAGCCACGATCCAATTAAAAAATTCAAGTTCTATGGATTTGGGGGGGGGGGGGCAGCAGAGTATAGGATAGAATAGCAGAGTTGGAAGGGACCTTGTTGGTCTTCTAGTCCAACCCCCTGCTTAGGCAGGAAACCCTATACCACTTCAGACAAAGGGTTATACAACATCTTCTTAAAAACATCCAGTGTTGGAGCATTCACAACTTCTGGAGGCAAGTTATTCCACTGATTAATTGTTGTAATTGTCAGAAAATTTCTCCTTAGTTTTAAATTGTTTCCCTCCTTGATTAGTTTCCACCCATTGCTTCTTGTTCTACCCTCAGGTGCCTTGGAGAATAGTTTGACTCCCTCTTTTTTGTGGCAGCTCCTGAGATATTGGAACACTGCTATCATATCTCCCCTAGTCCTTCTCTTCATTAAGCTAGAATTAAATTAGGCATACTAGAGTATTTAAGTTGTTCTCAGCCGTGGCACGACAAAACCGCGCTCCACTAAAGTGCGCCCGATTAAACCGCATCGCTGACGTCATCAGCAGCACGACAACAGTGACCGCGGAGAAAAAAGGGCGCTTTAAAAAGCGCTTTGAAAGCAAGCCGATTCAAGTTAAGGTAAGGGTTAGGTTTAGGGTTAGGATTNCCTTCATTGGCAAGTCTAAGGCTTATTGCTGAACTTTCTTCTTTCATCTTTACACTGAACCCCAATGGTTGTGAATTAAGGGATACCTATAGACAAGTATATGTGGACATAGTTCACATCTTCGATTTGCTGTAAAGTTCTATGCTTCAAAGACAAAAGCAACATCATTGCAGTCTCTTAGCTGTGCCTTTTTTGAGCTGTCATTTGGATCAATTTCATGACTGCACTAGCCTTTTGCAGTTCAAGTCCCATAAGAGCACCATGCCCACTCTCAAGCCGTAAATCTGGCCAGTATTATTTCACAGCACCATCTATTTCCCAAGTAGTGATGAGTCTGATTTGAGTGTTGTGGAAGAGCCTGAAAAACCCTGAGCTCAATTTCCCTGCTGAGCTTTGAATTTTTCTCTGCTTGCCCTCATGCACTGACTGTACTATGTTAAAAGAGTGGTTGTGTGAACAGCAGGGAATAGTCCAATGAAAGATACTCTGAACTCTTTTGAAAAAGGAGTGGAATATGATGAGAAGCCAATTTGGGCATGCCTACCTTGGCTTAATGAATAGAGAGTTAGGTGCAAACTCTTTGCCTGATCTTAGTCTTTCCCTTTTTCCTTCTCGGATATTGTACATGACAAGCAGTACAGAGAAATTTTAAATCAGCAAAGAACATGTAAGACATTTTCAGTTAACCGGTTTTCTTTAGAAGAGGTGAGTTATTAAGCTGAAAATAGGTACATCCAGACCAGTGATACTGTTCCCACAGCAGGCTCAATTGGTGATGGGGTTTCCATGTACAATGGAAACATCAAGAAAGTAAATCTATGTCCTGGGGATTTAACAAGTCCTAAATTGCCCAATTATGAAGAGGGATAACTTTACCATGTTGGTCATATTATAGAAACATCTAAACCTGAACTTACTGCCAAACCCAGACAACAGAGGATACATGTCCCAAAAATCAATTGGCTGCTGGTGCCTCTTACTGTCTGCTTAGCTGATGGGACAATGGTTAGTAAAGTCAGGAAGCCTGATTCAAGAATTCATGGGATAATAAGCACTTCCTAGAAGTGGNATGATGGGCGGATGGGTGGGGGGAGGGAGCTGGAACCGATTCTAAACAGCACTGTAGATTTGTGAAACCTCTTCTATAGAAGAGGTTAGAACTGGCAGGAACCCACCCCTGGTTCATACATACATATTACCTAAATACATCTTGCAATAAACCTGTATGATAGCACTGCATTAAACTTTTATGTTCTTTGGGGGAGAAAGAGGATCTCAGTTTCAAAATAGGTGTCAGGCCTGGAAGCCATCTTTTGCATTGGGCCTTCAGGCCTGCCACACTTTATGTTGTGTGGAAATGGGAGGGACATTATATGTATGCTTTTTTTCTCCTCAGAACTGGGAGGGATTTCCCATCTGGCGAAGTCTCCGTCTCCTCAGGCTGGGAGACGGAACATGGGAGATACATAGTCTAGTATGGGAGATATATAGTATGGGAGATACAGCATATGGTCTAAATAACATTTCTTTCTCAGAGAGTCAAGGACATCTTGCCCTGCATCTGGAGTGGTGTGACTGGGAGGCATCTATCTCTAGTTTTGGACGGTGCCTGATTGGACCATGTGATGGACTTGTGGGTGCTGGGCAGGGACTTGAACTTTCAATTGGGTGGGGAAAACCTGGAAGCTTTCAGATCCAGGTTTTCCCAGATGTGCCAATATGAAATCTCTAATAAAATGGAACTTTGAGGAAACTCAAGTCTTGGAATCTTCTTTCGTTAGGGGTGTTACTTGGAACCCTGACAATAGGTTCCTTATACTACTGAGAAAATTTATTTCAAAACAATATGCAGACCATCAATCTGATTTATCTTTAAAGGACTGAAATAATGTGAAGAAGTAACAACAAATGGAGCAATGCTACTGTATATGGAAAAAGATTTGAGGGATCCTTGGTGCTCTCTGAGCTTGTTGTTCTCTTGCAGATATTTCATTGCCTAACAGCACTGATGATGTTACCTAGTTTGGGTAATGTAACGTCTGCAAGAAAGCAACCAAGCTCAGAGAGCACCAAGGACCCTCGTGTTTCAACCTCGAGCTACAAATATTCTCCTTTACTGAAAAAGGATTTGAACCTGTAACCATTTTCCCAATGCTATATTTCTACTTTTTCCCAACCTGGATGCTGACTTAAAACTCAGGATAGTTGGTAAGTATCTTGATCCATGTTCTATGGCATCCTTATAAAAAGCAGCAGGGTGGGAAGGAAAAAAAAAGTGTGATCTTCTCCTTCAGGCAAATTTGTTGGCTTTACATTCGACAACATGCCTTGAATGGAATGGAGCAAATTTCATTATTCTGACTCAGTTCTTTCTCCAATGGTTTCTGAGTCTTCTTTCAAAGTGGAATGTCCTTTTATCATTTAAATAAATAAGTTTACAGCAGAAACAAGAATGTGTGGCACAGGCCATCAGCTTCTTGCTGACATAAACAAGATCCAGACACAGAATGGAGACAATTAATACATTTTTATATAATCTTTGCATACACATATACACACGTAAGCTTCCAAAAAGCTAATTGAATTATTGTTAACTATTTCCAGAGTACAAATCAACACAATATTTTTTTTGTATTGTAAAATATGCAGAAAGTTAACTACATTTATAGACTCATAATGAAAGAAAAAGTTTACAAAGCAGCCTGTAGAACTAGAAAGTTCTTTTACACCATTGATTTAATTTATATTTTACATACAGGTATTTCACAAGAGAGCCAATCTGTTCTAATGGTTAAGGTACCAAGCTAGAAAGCAGGAGATTGTGAATTCTAGTTCCATCTTGGGCATGAAATCTATCTGGGTGACTTTGGGCCAACCAATGAATCAATACTTGGTTGATCTGGAAAAAAAGGGGAAGGACGACCCTGCACATACAGTGGTATCTTGGTACTCATTCTTAATAAGTTCTAGGAAGTGCAATGAGTACCAAAAATGTTAAGTACCAAACATTTTTTCCCCAGAAGGAATAATGTAGTGAGTCACAAGGCAGTCAACATCGACAGGTTCTAGCTTATGCGTTGAGTACCAAACAAACGATGAGTACTGGGGCAAAATTTTCACACCAAAATGTGTTGAATATCAAATTCAATAAGTTTCAAAGCATTTGAATACTAAGATACCACTGACGGGAAAACTTTAGGAAGGAAAAAAAGAAGGCATTTAACAAAATAATAAAACTGGAAGGGGAAATCAAGGGTGGTTTATTGTTAGCTGTTTAATTCATTTTGAGAGTGGCCTGCAGACCCACATTTTCTCCAGATTTGATCCTTCAATTTTAGAATTTACAAGCTAAGAGCAGAGAAGGATGGCTAATTCTGACATTACAATAAATATGGGAATTGGATCAAGCCAGGGGATAATATAGCACTCCCTCACTGGTATACAGATTAAAAATTTCTGGGAACATGGAAGTAGTGGGGTTCCTATCTCTTGGGATTTTTCAAAGGAAAAGTTGATATTCTATGTACAAGTGAAATATACATAACAGGTATTTCAATCCTAATTTAATTTGCGACTGTGGTTGAACAGAAAGTTTGATATAAATCAAGTAAATAAATAAGCAAATATATTACTGTTTTGCTTCACCAGTTGAAAAAACACAATTTATAATATCATTTGGCACATTTAGAGTACTATTCCTCAAAAGCAAAACTTGGGTTAGTGGAATTTACTTATATGTAAAGTCCCACAGCTGCAGCCTTAAAAGTTTAATACACCACTATACATACGGTATATGCTGACTTACAAAATAGGCTTCACTGAGTTCAGAAAAATGCATTCCACTGGTATATAAGGCATGAAAAATGGTTCATTCCCTATACGTTTAGATTATTGTTCCAATTATCCTGGCTACAAACCATACCAAATATAATAACCATATTTTTGGAGTATAAGACGCACGTTAGCTTCAGCACACAGGTTTGCTGGGTTTGAGCGCTCGTGCACGGACTTTTATCCCCAAGTTGGGGATAAAAAACAGCTTCTAAAGCACAGCTGATCGTTTAAGAGAGAAGCAGGCAAAGCATGGAAGATCGCTTCATTCGTTAGTGACTCATTAGGGCTGAAAAACAGCTTTTAAAACACAGCTGATCATCGGAGGGAGAAGAAATGACAAAAGCAGCCAAAGTATGGAAGATCGCTTCACTCGTTAGCGACTCATTAGAACTGAAAAAAAGCTTTGAAAAAGCTACATTCAAAGTATAAGACGCACCCAAATTTTCAGCCTCTTTTTTTTTGGGGGGGGGGGTCTTATACTCCAAACATACGGTAACTATCTCTTATACCGTTCTTAGATTATATTCTCTCTCTCTCTCTCTCTCTCTCTCTCTCTCTCTCTCTCTCTCATCTATCTGTCTGTCTGTCTGTCTGTCTGTCTGTCTGTATGTATGTATGTATGTATGTATGTATGCTGGTCTTGTTGTATTTGGGTCCTTTCCCATGTAAGATTGATCAATCTTACACGGGAAAAGACCCAAATACAACTAGACCAGCATACCTACACCTATATATATTTGTTTGCGTAGATTTTCACGGGTACAGGTATGCAGGTCTTGACGTATTCAGGTCTTTTCCTGTGTAAGATTGAGAGTATCTTGGTTGATTTTATCTGTGGTGCCTTTGATGTAAGGGAGGAGGGTGATGCCGTTGTCCTGTTCTATGTCTCAGTTCTTGGGAGGGTGTCTCCCTTTGGATTAGGTCGGTAATTGTTTTTCTTTGGAATCCGTTGGAGATTAATACGTTTGTGAGAGTTTTCAGTGTGTAATTCAGTTGAAAACTGAATTACACATTCTTATAAACGTATTAATCTCCAACGGATTCCAAAGAAAAACAATTACCAACCTAATCCAAAGGGAGACACCCCCCAAGAACCTACCCCAGGTGTCCCAGATATTTCTATGTTTTTGAATTTGTTCTTATAAAAATGGGGAGAAGGGAGGAGGATATGTTTTGAAAATTTTCAAACGGCCATAGTTTGCTTGGCTATTTATTTTAGTCAAAGGATGTGGTAATGGTAAGAAATATATATTTTTTTATCCATGGCTTAGCCTCTCAGCACCTCACAGATGATTAATATGCCTCTGAGACACCACAGGCTAACAGATATTTTAGAAGGCTAGTGTTCTGAATGTGCCAGATTTCAAATTCCTAACTAGTGCTATAGTATTCTGGGCAATTTGTCAAACTGAGGTCCACACATTTTTATTCAGGTTACCCGGAAATTATCACCAGAGTTTCAAACTTAGAAGAAAGGCCGTCTTTCTTTTTGTGTCAAGCTTCTAGATACCTTTAAAATCCCGTACAACTGTACTAACACATTGCTCCCTCCAGGTCTGTTATTATATTTGTGTTACAATTTTAACAGAGGTGGGGCCCGATGGCTTAGCAGTTAAAGATGCTGACATGCATCTAAAGATGCTGCTGGCATGCTGACAGCCCGGGTTTGAGAACCGAGCGCTGTGCGATGGGGTGAGTTCCCTTTATTTGCCTTTGTTTCTGCCCACCTAGCAGCTCAAAAGCATGCAAATGCAAGTAGATAAATAAGTACCACTTTGGTGGGAAAGGAACAGCGCTCCGTGTGCCTCAGTATATAATCACACTGACCACATGACTATACAAATATCTTCGGACATCGCTGACCCTGTCAGCTAAAAAACGGAGATGAGCACTGTCCCATGGAGTTGGATATGACTGGAAAGGAGAAATTTTTACCTTTTAATGCAGGAGGAGGAAGAAGAAGGGAAGGAGGAAGAGAAGGAGGAAGAGGAAGAGAGGAAGGGTCTCTTTAGAGAGAAGGTCAGAAGTCTTTTTGCATGCCATCTATGTATAGATTACAAACCTTGATTGTAGTCTAGTTGTGAATGCATCTGAGATTATTCTCCTTCATGGTGGTCTTGATGCAATCCACCAATCCATTTTTTTTTTTGAATTTGCTATGTTAGCCAAATAGGTGAGAAATAATATTCTGGCTAGAACAAGAGAAGAAACCCATAGTGTGTTCTGTTTATGGCTTTTATTTGGAATCACATTCATGGCTAACCATTTACGGTTGGCCTGTCATCCAAACACTAATTAAGAGAGGCCTTAATACTTTTTATTTATTAGGGAATAACAATCATTTGGGGAAACAATCATTTGGGTAACATATGAACTGATCAGACTAGTTCCATTTTTCTCAGTTTCTACACATGGTCCCATTTTTCTGTGTTCATCTCTCATTTTCTTCCAATCCTCATAAAAAAGAGGCATTTAGCATTTGTAACCACAAATTACGCATTTCTAAATATATTTTATCTCAAAGTACACATTTCTAAGCATATTTTACTCTAAATGTGTATTTTGTACACTCTTTAGTAGATTTTCCATGCCAAAAATTGCATCACAAAATTTGGAGACGCATAAAATCCAAACGATTATTGAGTTCCCATCCATAGATTTGTCTAAGGGTGCAGATGAGCTTGGCTTGATTTGAATTGTGGATTGGATTAAATCCTCAAGCATCCCTATTTATCACAGAACTATGACTGGCTGCGGTTTAATAACACTACATCTCATGATAAAGATAAAGCTACCACTATTATTTTCAAAATAATAGACAAATGAAGCATACTACGTATTTCACAGTATAATTTTTTTATGGAGGGTATTTTTAGCTCTATGTGTGTTTTAAAATGTGCCAGAGCACNGTTCTGCGATGCATGCATTTATTCTCCTATTAGTTTGTCCAATGTATGTGGCAGGGCAGATTTTGCATGGTATACTATGTATTATAATTATATAATAATTCAATTTATAGTAATTTATTTCTTAAGGCATACTTTTATTCCAAATTAACTCATCAAGTCTAGAAGGACATAAAATTGAGGTTCTGTCTTATTTGTCCATGAATGTTCTTGACATTTTATTAAGGGCAGTGTTTTATTAATAGACTCTTAAGCCTATGATCTGAAAATTTCTTTTGAAAGTCTAAGACTTTTATCAGAACACTGTGAAAAACAGCTATATTTAAGATATACTAACAGTATCTATCTGGTATTGGTCGTGGTGCTGGGTCCAATCTGTTCTTGGACTTGGGTTAACTGATATTTTCTTGTCCCTGAGGTAAATAGTAGCTCTGGCAACCATTATGATTACTTGCATGTTTTTATTGCTGTACTTTAAAAAAAAATCACCATCAGCCAAAATAAACAAACTTCAATTATAGTGCTATCCAACACTTATTTACACTCAACACTAACAGGAGAATTTTAAAGTATACAAACTTTCTATATTTTGATGATTTTCCAAACAATTTACTTCAAACATGTGTGTGATGATGGAAAAGAAATGAAACTCATCCAAGAATTCTGTAAGAATTTTGTACTTTAACAATCACAACATCTGTGAAATTAACACTTCTTAATTTCTATTTTCCAGCCTGTTGATACTAGCCACAATGAGAGTATTCAAGAACATATTTATTATTTTTAATATTGAAATTTTTTATTGTATGTGAGGAATAAAAACACAAATTTTAATGAATGTATTTTTACAGACATATGTCTATATTACAAATACATTTGACAAATGTGGAAATTTTTTCACATAGACATAGACATTTTTGACATTGCTAAGGAAAATCTGATATTGCTAAATTAAGATAGTTGATATCATAGACAAATTCATTTAAAGCAAACTTTGAGTCTTTCTCTACTGTTAAGTTAAAGTCCTATCCACCCATCCCTGTATCAATAGAAAACTGCTGCACAGAAACCTAATTCCCGATCATGGAACCATACTGTACTTTTCTTGATTCATTAATGAAAGGAGATGTGCTGGTTACACACATGCAGATCATAATAAGCAAAGCATGATTCCTTCCTTCAGCACCTCATCTTAAAAAAAAACCTGAGATCCATGCTGTTGCAACTGAATAAGGTTGGTCTGGCTTCAGAATTATGTCAAGTCTAGTGTATTTATTGTGCTTCGCCATAATCTTCCTGTTCAATAGCATTTGTAAGATGAGAGAGAAGGCAAAAACGACAAGCAAAAGATTAGAGCATTGTGACCAAACTCACATATTATGCAAATGTATACATGGGGTGGGGTTTTAATTGTGGCACTGACTGTTTTGTCCTCTCTCCATCTTTCCATTCTGGTATTCATCCAAGATGACAATACCTCTATCAATGAATGGCCTGCAGAAGAAACTGCTTATGGCACTGAAGAGTGACTCATCTCCATCAAACTGAGTCACATTGCCATCATTAAACCAGTCCTCCTTAAGTTATCGGTAGTTCTTCTCTGCTGATATATGACTAAAGATGTTGTTAATAGTCTCAAATATTTGGAAAACACTAGTAAAATAAAAAATAAAAAAGGCAAGAGTCCTTCAATTTTGTAATGATAAGTTTTCATGAGGTGTCTCTGACACAAAACTTAGTAGTTTTCTTTCCAGTTCTGTTCTATAATAGATGGATTTGATTTTTTTTTAATTAAGAGGAAAACTGCTATGATATTAATACATTCATCCTGATTATATATCAGTAATAATAATGGGACCATAAAATAGAGAAAGTAATAGAAAATGAAGAAACCAACGTGATTTGGGACTTAGAAATTCAAACGGGCACCTGCCACACAACACCCCAGACTTAACAATTGTTGATAAGAAAGAATCTGGATAGAGAATGTGGCAATACCTATAAACATCAGAATAGAAGAAAAAGAGCTGGAGAAAATTACAAATAGAAGTAGAATGTCTGTGGAAAAAGCTAATGCCAATGGTGATTGATAAGTGCCTTGGTGCAATTGCAAAACAAGACATAGAATGAATGCATGTGGTTTTGTGATTTTAAACTGTCTTTTTTTTCTTTTTTCTCCTTTTTTTCTTCTTTTTTTGTAAGCCTCCCGGAGTCCTTCGGGATTGGGCGGCATATAAATCTTGATAATTAAATTAAATTAAATTAAAACCTGAACACCATTTGACAAACTCACCATGAGTTAATTGCAAAAGGCAGCTTTACTGGGAATAGCTTACATCCTGTCATGATGATACCTTTAATACCATCAAACAACATCTGCCTATCCCAGATCCTTGGGAAGGACTTGATAGGTGTATAAAAATGCCAAATCCCCTCTGAACATCTGGTTGACTGTGCAATGAACCATAGAGTAGATAATATGTAACCAAATAAAATATGTGGTTTAGGGAGAAGTTGGAATGAAATTTATTTTGAACACAATAGACTATCAGTCTCAAATAGAAATTAGGTAATATGTAAACAGTAGCTTTGCACATGATTGAAATTTCAAGATGTTTACAAAAATACTGACAATTACAACCACAAAACGTGGCACCTGAACATAAATAATTGTTATTAAGATGAACAGAGTATTGGCCATTATAACAACCAGGAATAGTCATATCAGGCATATGCCTTGCTGACTTTCTGTCTGCAAAGAACATTGAAGGTTATACTAACGAATACACAAAAATAGAGTTAAAGTATAAAAATTGAAATTGAAAGGTAAATAGTTGCCTTGGAAAGAAATGAAATTTTTGGCTCCTCTTCTGAAGTGTGATAAAGGAGGTGCTAACGATAAGTTCTGAAAAAGTTTATTCTATACCAAGGGTTTTTTCTTTGTGACAGATAAATGAGCCTCTACCAGTTGGGACCAAACCAGAGGGGCCTCTTCCGTAGACCCTAATGGACAAACAAGATCATAAAATGAAAAGCTGCCCCGTTTAATCAACTGTTTAGGACTTAAAGAATCACTTCAGTACTTTAAATTTTGGTTATGGCAACAATTGCAAATCTTCAGTAAACACACAATATGATTTCCGTACTTTGCACTGACTAGTATCCTGCTGCTGTATCAACTCTAGTTGTAGAAGAATTAGCTATGACAGAACAGTTACAGATCCAGCATAATATGGGAAAGTTCTGTTAATATTGTTGCAGATATGATACCAATGTAATAAAGCAAATATCAGATCAGTTTTCCACAAACATATAGTATATCATAAAGGTAAAGGTATCCCCTGTCCTGCCATTTCCAATTCTAGAGCGCAGTGCTTCTCTCTGTTTCTTAGCTGAGGAAGTCAGTGGTGTCCAAAGACATTTCCATGGTCATGTGGCCAGCATGACTGTATGCTGAGGTGCATGGAACACTGTTACCTTCCCACTGAAATGGTACCTATTTATCTATTCACATTTGCATGCTTTTGAACTGCTAGATGGGCAGGAGCTGAGGCAAGAAACTTGCCCTGTTCCACAGCACTTGGTTCTCGAACTCCAGACTTTCAATTTTTCAGCTGACAAGCTCAGCATCTTTAACTGCTGAGTCATCTGCACCCCTTATATCATGGGTGTCAAACTCATGGCATCACATTGCCATCACATGATGTTTTGTGATGTTTTTCCCTTCGGTAAGCTGGGGTGGGGGTAGCTTGTACATGACACATCTGTGGGCCACCAGTTTGACACTCCTGCCTTATATCATATCATATCATCTAATATCCTATCGTATCATATCATATCTTCTGACATCATATCCTATCTCATATCTGCAATGATTTCATGCTGCTACTGGTTTATTCCTCCCACACCTACAAAAATAAAGAGTTTGGTTAGCCTTAAGAAAGGATGTAATTGAAATTATTCTTTGTGCCTTTGTAGTAAAATTAGAAAACATTTTTCTACATATTAAACATTTAAACATAATTGAGCTGTAGTCTGGGTGCTAATTTGAAAATATTGTTTTTGTTTCCGTATAACTTGTGCTGTGAATCAAATCAATCATTATATAAATTCCACATACTTATATATAGATACTGTACTTGTTAATGGTACAGAACATGAATGCTATTATCTTGTGTTAATTTTGGCAGAAATTTTAAAAACATAAGCGACTGGAAATAACTGAATAACAATGGTTTTTCAGGGCTCCAAATTTATTCCACATACCATGTGTTGATTTTCAGCAGTTTGATAATATTAAATAAAAAGTGAACAATTATTATTTGGGTAGTTAAAGCAGTAGCTGGTAAAGTATATAACGAATAGAGGGTGGAAAACATGACGTCAAGCAAGGGAGATCATCACACACCCCTTTCCAAAATTAGCAAGAGTCAATAAAGTAACAGCTTAATGACTTCTAAAAATAGTTGCTGCCTGGTTATTGAGTATCATGACCTACATTAAATCCAGAATCTATTTCCTGTGACTAGCAGCATAAATCACATGTAGTTTTTATATTCTGTTCTCTTTGGGATTAGTATTGAGGTTTTAGGCCTGACCTTGAAAGGTCTTCTTATAAGTGTCCAAATTGTATATCATACAGCATACATGTATTTCATATATTTTTACTGTAACTGGAATAAGCTAAAACAAAGAGTGTACTAAAGATGTAGGCACCCAATTAAAGAACAATGACATAAAGCCAAACACTGAATAAAACAAAAATCCACAAATGATCTCAGATTTTTAATAACATCAACAATAAAAATTTCAGTCATCAGTACATCGATAATAATTTCCAGATTCTCAGTTGTTGCTAAGTCTTTAATCAGTAGGATTTACTTTAAATAGACAAATAATATATGAACTTAATAATATACTGTAAATATTACTTCCTTAATATAGATAGTCCCTTACAACAGTGGCACCCAACCTCTGGGGCACCAGGGACTGATTCTGTGGAGAGTTTTTTCTGAGGATCAGAGGGAATGTGGTTTTGCATGCTGCCTGCATCCCGCAGATGTGGCTTTGCTTATTTGCATAGACCAGTTGCTGGCATGCTGCGGACTGGTGCTGGTCCAGTGTAATGACCCAGGGCATGGCACAGAGGTAACACAGGCAGCTGGCAGTTCAAACCACCCCTTTATTGTTCCAAATTTCCCTCAAACGCTCCCACGTTTCTGGCAAGTCCCAGCACAAAATGTTGACACACACATACACATCGCCAGCAGCCTCTGGCTGCAAATAGTCCAACCCAACACTGTGGGCACAGTGGCTGCAAAGCAAGAAATCCAGCAGGGCATGTTGAGGGTCCAAGAAGCAAAGGAGCAAGGCAATTAATCCAGAAATCCAGAAAGAATGCAAGGAATCCAGGAAAGTTCAAAAGTCGGCATCAAGACTCCATGAATTGAGTTTTTGTTCCCGACAAATGCCCCTCCCCACAGCGTCTCCTTAAGTCTCAGTTGCAAGGTGTGCCTTGTGAAGAGGGCAGGGTGCTCTCCTCCTGAGTAGTCAGCTCAGTCTGTGCTGTTCTCAGCTCTCTCCCACCATTTTTCATGCTCAAGGATCAGGAGGGGGTGGTCCTTGCTCATCGCCTGAGCGCTGTCTCTCATGTTCACTGCTTAGCCTCTCTTGGTCATCCTACCCCCCTTCTTTCCTGCCTACAAGCCATCCAAATCCTGAAAGGCCCTGGCCTGACTGGGCCTGCTCCTCCCCATTTTCCTCCCAAGACAACAAAGCCAACTCTCGATCTCCGTTGGCTCCAATTTCAGCTCATCTTCCTCTGAAGATTCAGGTTCCAATGAGAGCATGACATCCAGGGACCTGGGGTTGGGGACCCCTGCCTTGCAACTATTCATATAGTGATTGTTTGAAATTACACTGGAGCTGAAAAAGTAACTTATGACAGTCTATGCAGTTATGACTATTGCAACATCCCTGTGATCATAATTCAGTCACTTGGCAACCAGCATGTATTTATGATGGTTGCAGTGGCCCAGGTTCATGTGATCACCATTTGTGACCTTCCCACTGGCTTCCAAGGAGCAAAGTCAACAGAAGAAGCCAGATTCAGACTATGAGATTTGCTTAATATTTTTTGGGGGGGGATTTGGTGTGCTCATGAGATAACTCACTTAATAACTGCATCGCTTAGCTATGGAAGTTCCAGTCACAACTGTCATTATAAGTCAAGGACTACTCATATATAGATACCTGTTGTGGCCCAGCAGGAGCCGTTGGAGCTGCTGATGGACTCCGATAGCGAGGAACCCTATGAGTCGGCTATGGAGGATGTGGAGGACCCTGGGCAGGGTTCAGACTCCGAGCAGGGACCAGGGCGGCTGGTTGGCCACCAGGAGGCACCTGAGGCACGGAGAAGTGGGGAAGATCAAAGGGAGTTTGTCCCTGACGTCAGGCAACAAAGGGTGGAGAAACGGAGTCAGCAGTTACGGAGACAGACTCATAAGAGATAATCAAGCCCAGGTGGTTGTGGCTTGGCTCCTCCCTCGTATATACTCTTATACTCCCAAGAGAGTATATAAGAAGAGTCTTTGGGAGGAGCCCTTTTGCAGGACACAACCGTTCATAACAAGTTGAAGAAGCTCTTGTTTATATTGTATCTCTTGTCTGTGGGAGTCTGGGTTGCTGCCATCATCTTGCCAGTGAGTCGTGTTGGGCTTTCAGCCAACAGGATTGTAATTGCTGTAAATAAAGAGTGGCAAACTACTAAGCCTGTGTCGGCGTTGATCACCGGACGGAGTGGGGTCAGAACAGAACAGAACTATATAGTGTTCTTGATTTGTTGGTGTCTTCTTCTGGGATTTTTTTTTAAACTTCCTGGGATGGCTCCCCTCCAAGTGCTAAGTTCAACACTACTTAGCTTTTTCAATGAACCAAGGTTGAATAACCTGCAATTGACAGTATACTTAACAGTGACATTTCTATTTATAACCGTATTTATTCTTCATTTATATTTGCATCAATTCTTCTGTTTTAAATTTGAGTTTATTAATGTTGGTTATAAATTTACTTGTAAAATATATTGGCCACCCAATTTTGGCACCATCACATGGTACCTTCATTGATTCTTAGATAGACAGCTGAATGCAAATACACATGACCATTGGTCATACGTGTGAAAAGTGGTCATAAATCACTTTGTTTCAGTTCCATTGTAACTTTGAACAGTCACTAAATAAACTGTTGTAAGTCAAGGACTACCTGTATTATTTTAAAATATGTTCAGAATAGTGGTCTTCTGTTAGTGGTCTTCCACAACAGGGAAATGTCTTGAGGATTAGTTCCAGTTGAACTGCTATAGTTTTTTAAACATACAGAAGTATTTATTTTATAGCAGATTTCTTAGTTAAGCAAACTCAGTTATAGTCGTCAAATATTTAATATTGACAGGACATATAATTAAAGGCCTTCCTATTTATCCCAGATTGGTCTAACTTAGGGATATTAAATTCTATTTCGTTGAGGGCCACATTGGGGTTGTGTTTGACTTTGGAGGGTCTGGGTGGGCTGGGGTGGGCATGGGCAGGGTAAACATGGCCAGCATGATGTCACTCATGTTGGGGTGTCTGTGGTGGATCAAGGGTTCTGCCACTTGAGCTTCATTTTCGGGCTGCAACAGTCACCTGCAACTCTCTGCCAGAGAAAACGGAGCTCGGGGCGCAGCCCTCACAAGCTCTGTTTTCAGCTGGGATGGTGTCACACAACCCTCTGCCAGTGAAAATGTAGCTCGCAAGGGCCATGTGTAGTCTTCCCGAGCTCTGTTTTTGCTGGCAGAGGCACTATGAGCCGGTCCTTCACTGTTTCCAGGGTGGCTCCGTGGGCCAGATCTAAGCAGCCCGAACGCTGGATCCAGCCCTCGGGCCTTGAATTTGACACTCCTGGTCTAACTTAATGTAAAACATTTTTATGGATGGGGGTGGGTGGGGTGACATCTGGAATGATCATCTAGACTTTTGCAGCTCAGTTCTGGTAGGTTGGGTGAATCCATGTTAGGGTACCCAGGCACATAGGCTATCTGTTGCAAGCATCTGGCAAAGAATTGATTATCAAGAACCACTGATAGTGTGGTTTACAGTTGGAAAAAATGTTCTTCTTTTCTGCTGTTTCAACTTTGATTGATCATGGAACATGTTCAGTAATTCTGATGGCATTGCCATTCAGAAACAATAAGATAGGCTTCACATTTCACATGCTGTCACTTGCCTGGAGATGATGAAAATTATTTCCTTTCAAGCACCTTTATTAAAGTAAGTCTTAAGAAATACCAGAAACAAGTTTTAATCCATTTCTTGTTAGACTGTTTTGGAAGGCCTATTTGCTATTTTTTATTGCTATAGTTGTGGTGGTTATTACTACTACTATTATTACTATTATTATTGTACTTAATCCAGATGCATTTCAACAAGCTTATGGAATTCCACAATGAATTTTTCAGACATTTCATTCTGCATAGTAACATTCAGACAAATAATATCTAATTCTTGTCTCATGAGTGAATTTTCTAATTTTGTTATTGCTATTAAAAGAAATATTTTTTAAAAAAATCATTTGAAAACATTGTTCCACAATACAATTTGTTTCCAATAATCTTCTTCTTGGTGTTGATAGAATTATGTAAATAATAATGAGCTTTCTCCCCATTTTCACAGAGTTCATTAAAGTCAGTGAAATATGCTAATCATCACACTTTATACCTTGGAATGCATGTTATTGGTCACTGGGAAATACACTCCTGTAATGTTTAACTTCTGCAATTATTCTTTATTAGGCATTTGGGAGGTGTCAAAGCAAAATTGCCATATATGTACCAGGAAAGGGTGATTTTCAGAAGAATCCTCAGCAGAATTCCCAATCGAATTGTTATGGTACAGTAGACACTGAAATGGAAAGCATGACATTTCAGCTGCTGGGATTTTTCTTGAGTCTTCTTGGCTTAGTTGGAACCATCACTGCGACCATCCTGCCTCACTGGTGGAACAGTGCTCATGTGGGAACCAATATCATCACAGCTGTGGCATACCTGAAGGGCCTCTGGATGGAATGCGTTTGGCACAGTACTGGGATCTCCCAATGTCAGTTCCACTATTCACCGCTCGCTTTGCCTCGTGACCTTCAAGTAGCCCGGGCCATGATGGTGATATCTTGCCTTCTTTCAACTCTGGCCTGTGTAATTGCTGTTATTGGCATGAAGTGTACCCAATGTGCCAAAGGGTCCTCCACCAAAAATATCTTTGCTGTCCTAGGTGGAATCCTGTTCATACTGGCTGGAATTGTGTGTCTCATCCCTGTTTCTTGGACAACAAATGATGTGGTGACTAATTTCTACAACCCAATGTTGCCCAATGGGATGAAATACGAGATCGGGCATGCGCTTTACGTTGGCTTTGTGTGCGCTTCACTGAGTATAATTGGTGGAACAATCTTGTGTGCTTCATGTCAGCATGTGGAGAATGGCATACATTCCCAACAACAATCAAGAAGTACAAGATTAGCTCCATCCTCCAGACCACCAATGGCTTACAAGTCAAATCACAGTCCTTCGCAAGCATCTGCTTCTTACAATGGTTACAGGTTAAATGACTATGTATGAATTCTGTGAGACTTCTCTTGTGTGTATGTTGCTGTCAGTGTTTCTCTAACTATGTTTGTATATATTTATACAAATTGCATTATTACATCTATTGTTTGTGGTGTTATCAATGTACTATAATTTCCATATTCTGTTTAGTACTATGTTACTTTTTATATAATTAATGCAATTTTAAAAAAGGATGCTTTGAAGCTTGAAATTAGAATAAGTCTTTTCCTGGAGAAAGACTGCAAATATTTACAAAAAATGGTTTGTGATTTCAGAGACAGGCTGCTGAGCACAGGACTTCCAGACTGTGGAACCGTGTAAGAAGGCACATTTGGTGCAACAAGACCCAGATGTGTTGCTATTCTAGCAGTGATCATTCAAAGAAGTCTCATACTAAGTATTTTGATCATGTAAATGGAAAATCTATTGTTTGTACTTCATTGTATACTTACAGGATATTTGGACGTGTGTATGTGTGTGTCTGATTCTAAGATATGTAGACAAAGAAAGCAAAGATGTGTAATAGTTGTTTTTTGTATTGGTTTCCTATATGTCATGCAATGTTAGGCATTTGTATAACGACAATGCAACATTATAGTTATACAAAATTCATTATTTAAGGAATAAAACTGTTTCTTATCTACAGGTTCATATGCTAGAAATCCTATACCTACTATTACATATTTCAGATGTTGTTGAAATAGGTTATTAGCATGAATGATGATGAAAAGGTAATGTTATATTTGCTTTTCTCCTTCTAAAGGAATACACCTACAAACTCTAGTTCTCCAGAATAAACTGTTGTGAAACACTATAAAACAGTGACGTCAAGTGGCCAAATCATGTATGACACTATGCTGCTGGTATACAGCATCTGAATTTTTTTTAAAAAGAATTTAAGCTAGGCTAACACTACACATTTCCTATAATTTTGACAACAAATATTATTTACACCCACCCACCATGCAAGCAGAAGGGCTGTATTCTATTAATATTCTAAGGCAATTTTCATTTCCACATGGCAGTTTAAATAGCTAAAATGATTTCTAGTGAAATTCATATTGGGAATGAGCCTGATAAAATAATATGAATTGATTTAAATTATCAAAACTCACCAATTTAAATGTTAATGAAGTATAATTCAGTAAAGTATTACTTTTGCTTCATTTTTATAGCTTAGGAAATATTAACCTAATTAGAGCTACTTAATTTGGGTAACCCCTTAATGCATTTATTTTAATATTTAACATGAAAGTGTATTTTCAGAATTCCTTTTGTTTCCTCTATAATTTTGAAGCTGTTCTAGAGGATTGAAGGAGGGATGATTCTTTCGAGATAGCATGGAGATCTCAGAAAGAAGAAAAACTGATAAAAATTATTATCTTCTTTTCGTACTGATCCAGACACGATCCAGAGTTAGCTTAAGTATAAAATAAGACAATTACATTAAAAAGTGTTTTTTTTAAAAAACAACAACATTCAATTCATCGTAGATTCAGTAGAAATCTAAACAAAATGGTATTACTACAAAGCTTCAGGTCTAAGATTTTTATCCACACCTGTACTCCAAAGTACCCGCGGGCAGGACAAGAAGCAACGGATGGAAGATTATTAAACAGAGATCCAATCTAGAATTAAGGGGAATTCCATGACAGTGAGAAAAATTAATCAGTGGAACAGCTTCACTGGAGGCCTTCAAAAAGAGATTGGACAACCATTTGTCTAAAATGGTACAAAGTCTTCTACTTGAGCAAGGGGTTAAACTAGATGACCTTCAAGATCCCTTCCAACTCTGTTATTGTTATTCTATTTTCCACTCTATATTACACAGCACATGCCAGACATACTTTTACTTGTTTTAACTTATGATAAGCACACATAAAATATATTCTAAGAAGACATTATATTAGGAGAGAATACTATGTCACTATACTTTTTCTATTATACTGTTATTAAAGTTAAAGAAAAGAACTTGGAGAGAGCTTATATATATGTACATTTTTAAATATTTGAAGTATTTATCAATATTGTAGAGCCTTTAGATTGATACATGCATCTTAATTTATATTCATGTTCTTAGTCCAAATAATTTGTAGCTACATCCTATATTCCCAATTTAGTTAATAAATGTAACTTTCACAAATTTGCTTGCGAAAACTGATCCTTCAGTATTACAAGAAGTGAAATAGGGATGATGTTTCTTCAAACTGAATCCATGTAGTCACTACTTCATTTTTATATTTCATCTCCTTGGAGTTTACATGAGCAGGGAAAAGCAGCTATGATAGTATGAAAAACTTGCCCTAGTGTTGTGATCACACATAATTAGTTGCATTCAGCTTGAATGACTCTTGGCCTTTGTGTGAAGCAGAAAATAGTTATGAACAGTTACATGGAAGCAAAAGTCCTGAAGCTTCATGTGACTTATTTTTATACCAGTAGACATGGAATTGCAGGCTTGCCTCTTAAAGAGCACAACTCTACTTTGCTATATTTTTGTCACAATATAGTTCAGCCCTTCAGAAATTGGGTGCAAAATAATTCACATTCTTTCTTATGAATTAACCTTAACATTTAAATATGAATTTGGTCAGCAACACAATATATTTGAATATTATATTGTACATCTCCATTAATTTTTCAATGAAAGTTGACTTTTATTTTTCATGATTCCTCATACCATCTTGTTTTGTTTTTTTTATTAAACCAGAGATAACATTTTTTTTAAAAGCAAAAGGAACTAAAAGGAACACCAGGGGATACACATAAAAGTGTGAATGTTAATGTTAAATATTAGTTTTCTTACAACATAATCTTTAAAATTACAAATCCAGTACTTTTTAAAACAATGTACCCATTGCCCACACATAAACAAATTTATATCACGTAGACATTTGAAGACTTTTTTTTAATGAGCTCGGATACAATTAATGTAGAAAATTAAGTAGTGTAAGCTTTTAAATTTAAACCCAACTTCTAATCTCTGGTACATTTACTTGGTGTGTAAGTAAAACGTTCAGATTTATTGACAATTCCATTTAACTAAAGTAGGGCAGTTAAATAGCCAACTGCCCATCCTACAGATTTGAAACAGAGAAGGAATTTATGCAAATCTTATACTGTGCCAATTAGCTTGTAAAGATAAATAATTAAGTAAATGCCAATTGTAAAACAATGATTTCTCTACCAGATATAGAGCCAAGAAAACATAACAATTATGCCTTTCTCACATAATCTGCGAACTCTTACTGGTCTATCATATAGCCAATACTTTGCTTGAAATGTCTAAAAAATGCTAATGCATTTTCTTCCTCACCACAAAGTCATGTTTTATGCAAATGTCACTCTGAGTAAATCTCTTTCACAGGGTATGGCAACTATGTTGTAGAAAAAGGTCCCACTGTAGTAAAGCATTTCAATGGATTTATATTTTATTTTCATTTTCAGGAAATCCAATTACAGAGTTTCATCCATTCTTAGTCGCTTAGGTGATGGTGGATTTTGTAACTGGTCTTCGGGTGGTGATGGTCTCTCTGAAATATTGAAGAATTCAGTAAAGGTTTTAGTGTGTATGTTAAAAACCTGGACTGATAATGTATATATTCTTTATAATGCTATCCCTGCATGGGTTGTTCAACCAGAACGAGCAGCATCAACATATGACCAATAAAGTCAATTTAGTTAGTAATCATTTTACAACAACCTCTCAATATATTATCAACAATAAAGTATTTTACCATGCTGAATTGCATTTCTGGAAGTATCTGGAGTAGCTTCTTTTAGAGGAATCAGTGCAACTCTCCTAAGAACAAGAACAAAAGCATGGCACATTAGAAGATATGCAAGTATGTTTTCCTCCTGCCTGCTTTCTTTAATAATGCATTTCTCCTCCAACTTCCCTTCCCCTTTCTTCTTGTTTCTCCTGACTCTTCTGGATTCCACTCTTAAGACTTAGTTCTGTGACCCATTCTACACAAAGGCTCCATTAGGGCAGTGGCATGGTGGAGTCTGTAAATGGCAACAGTACAGATATTAACTTTCCCCTTCCTGAAGTTGTCTCTGACTACGCATCCTGATCTTCCCTCCCGGTCTTAGGCAGCAGCTTAGTAGTTATTGCTACCACAAGAAAACTTCCATGGCGATGCCTTTGCCTCTTAACCCCAGCATCAATTTGCGAAAACAATTCATATTCTGAAGACCACCTTAGAGCTATCATTCCTGTTTATTTCTTGATTCCACATTTATAATGTTAAGCTTACCTTGGTGACTTATTCCATGCTTGTAGAGTATTCAATGTAATCCTCCTGGGTTGGTTTACTTTTGTTGTGTGAATTGATGCCTGCACAGTTTTTTTATCTTCAGAAGATGACATGGAGATGTTTTTAACTGCAACAGGTGTGCAGTGCAAGTCTTTACTATTGGTTGGAGTCTGGCATGCAGTTGATGGTTCTCCAGACTTATTAAGACTGCCATCCACTGGTTTTGAAACTGGAGAGACGACACTTGGTGACTGACCCTTTTTAATTTTCTTTTCTGCTGTGCTAGGTGTTTTGATATTAATGGCTGGCTTATTTTTCAGTGGGATTCCAAGTTCACCTTCTTCAAATGTGACAAAAGAGCAATATCCATCCGTAGAAGAAATAGCAAGAAATGATCCATCACTGGACCTGGCATTTATTTATGAGAAATAAGTGGATAAAAACTCAATACTGATTACTTTCATGTGACAAAAATATACACATAAAACTCTGAAAAATTAATTGAATTTAATTGATATTTGTAGCTAAGTGCTGAAAGGAGGGAAGGAAAACTGGGGTGGGTTCCAGCAGGCTCTACTACTGGTTCGCTTGTGCGCCCGCCCGTGCACACTTGAATAAAAATGCTTCTGTGCATGTGCGCTGCCAGGAGAACCAGTTCAGGAGCATGGCAGGCTTGGGTTGCTGCCGGTTCCAGCGACCCAGGCTGCCAAACCATTACCAGTTCAGCCAAACCTGTATGAACCCACCACTGAAGGAAAACATCCATGTTTCAGTGCTTGTGTGTTCTCATTTTTGTATGCAAAATAGAATATATCTATAGATAGACATCCATTTATAAATAGAATATATTTAACAGGCAGCCAACCTGAATAGTTATTAATTCAATATTTTTGTACCAATTGTGTCCTTTTCCAAAATGTCATTTCTGACAAAGAAGGAGGAAGATATAAGTGTACATGCGTATGTGTGTGTACGTGCATTTTGGGATGGAAGAAAACTGTCAATATACCGTTAAGCTGGAGTTGGAAACACTGATTTGACATAGTAGGGAACCTGAGGATCACAAATTAATGTTACCTTTTTTCAGTTATATATGTTGTTTAAGACAGTGATTCCCAACATTTCTGGCTCAGTGGACTGGCAGCAGCAGATTGGGGGGATGGTTTTGTGCATGTGCACTCACACTCCTTTCACAAATGGAGCTTTGTGCATGTGTGCGCACACTCGCCTACCAGCTCAGTTCTGAACCGGCTGCAGCCCGGCACTGGACAGCGGACTAGGGGTTGGGGTCCTGAAGTCATCCTGAAGCCATACTAACATTTTTTATTCTGCCTAAGAACAAACTATTTGCAAAAGTAGTAAGTTATGTTTGTCTTTCTCTTATACATGCATGCAATTTTGCCAATATTAAACAACACTTTATCAAACTGTGAAATTAGATATTTTTCTTGTTGTTCATTTGGAAGACAGGTTATAAGAAACTCAATAGTATAAGTATGCAAATTAAGACAGATTTTACTAGTGATTAGTGATTGGAGAAAGTCAATATTTCTAGAAGATATCAAATTACTTACCATGAAATGTCACTGAGAGTATGGTAATGTATGTTAGATACATAACCAAAAGGAAAAGTTTGCTGTGTATCATAGAAGAGCACAGAATCCTCTGAAGCAACAGCAAAAACCAACCGATAAGGAAGATTTGTTAGACCAATCTTTTGGGAACTTTCTTCTATAATAACCAAAAATGTTTGTTATAAAAATTAGGAAGATGTAGAACAGAATAGTCACTAGTTTAATTATATTTAATTTATTTTTAATAAACCTACAATATAAACTCTTATCTAACAGGTTCAAAATACCTTTGTTACATGCAGATCTCAATTCAAAGTAGACAGGGCAGCAACGAACAGCTAATGTTGCCTTCCCAGGACAAGGTAGATGAGCAATGGGTCTAAAAAAATAACAGCAAGTTTTAAAAATAAAAATGGAAATTACAAAATGCATTTCATATTTACATAAATATGGAATTAATTAATACCCTCACCTTCTCAGATTTTTTCTGGAGAAGACATAAGTAGTGTTCATTACATTTTCACCTGATTCCACACAGCCTGCTGAGAGAATATGAAAACAATGCCAAAATGTCAGTTTTACAATTAGACAAGGTTGCATAATGCAATCAACATTGCCAATTTAAACAACTTCTTTGTTTATATTTACTACAAATGTACATGGCCCATAATGAAGTTTTGCATTACTGTATTATTGAAAAGAATCTAATTTGTAATATGAAATCACTTGTATATA